AAATGTTTGCAATGGTGCTATTAAAAATTTCTAAGCTATCTAATCCTGACTTTAATATATTTTCAAGTTTCACTGGTTTTTACCTCAGAATCTTTTGCATATATCTATTCTTTTCTGTCTATCATTCCTAGACTTCCAAACTGTTACTGATCAAACTCCCTTATTAGGTATTGCTTTTTAGCTTGCAATCCAGATATAGGTATATAGATTTGTTTATCAATTATACAAATGCACCACTGTATTAACATTTACCCATTGTAAAATTATAAAACTGTTTAATAGTAAATATAAATACAAATAGAAGTTCAAATATTTCTTCTTGCCCCTTCAGTGACTGACCTTGTGTGCCACTTGGATTATAGTCCCCATTCTGCGAACTGGCCTGGACTGTAGAAATAGCTTGCAAACTGTTCTGTTGCCCCCTTTTTCACCCTTTTTCTGTCTGATATGGTTTGGCTGTATGTCCCCACCAAAATCTCATGTTGAATTATAATTCCCAATGTTGGGCGAGAAACCTGGGGGGAAGTGATTGGATCACGGGGGTGGATTTTCCCCTTGCTGTTCTTGTGATAGTGAGTGAGTTTTCATAAGATCTGCTTGTTTCAAATTGTGTAGCACTTCCCCCTTCACTCTCTCTCTTTCTCCTGCTCCTGTCATATAAGATGTGTTTGCTTCCTGTTTCCTTTCTACCATAATTGTAAGTTTCCTGGGGCCTCTCCAGCCATGCATCCTGTATAGCCTGCAAAACCTTGAGTCAATTAAATCTGTTTTCTTTATAAAGTATACGGTCTCAAGTAGTTCTTTATAGCAATGGGAGAATGGACCAATACTGAAAATCGGTAAGAGAGAAGTGGGGCATTGCTATAAAGATAACTGAAAATGTGGAAGCAACTTTGGAGCTGGGTAACAGGCAGAGGTTGGAACTGTTTGGAGGGCTCAGAAGAAGACAGGAAGATGAGGGAAAGTGGGACTTCCTAGAACTTGTTAAATGGTTGTTACCAAAATGTCCATAGTGATATGGACAGTGAAGTCCAGGCTGAGGTGGTTTCAGATGGAGATGGGAACTGGAGTAAAGGTCATTCTTGCTATACTTTAGCCAAGTTACTGGCAGCAGTGTGCCCCTGTTCTAAGGATCTGTGAAACTCTGAATTTGAGAGAGATGATTTGGGATATCTGAAAGAAGAAATTTCTAAGCAGCAAAGCATTCAAGATGTGGCCTGGCTGCTTCTAACAGCATATGCTCATATATGAGAATAAAGAGATTATCCGAAACTGAAACTCATATTTAAAAGGGAAGCAGAACATAAAAGTTTAGAAAATTCTCAGCCCATCCCTGTGTTAGAAAAGAAAAACCTATTTTCTGGAGAGGTATTCAACACTGCAGGAATTTGCATAAGTACAGAGGAGCTGAATGTTAATAGGCAACACAATGGAGAAAATGCCTCTAGGGCATTTCAGAGACCTTTGTGGCAGCCCCTCCCATCATAGGCCTGGAGGCCTAGGAGGGAAAAATCATGGACCAGGCCTAGGACCCTGCTGCTCTGTGCAGTCTCAGGACATGGAGCCCTGCATCACGGCCACAGCTGGTCCAGCTCCAACCATGGCTAAAAGGGACCAAGGGTACAGCTCTACTTGTTGCTTCAGAGGGTGTAAACCCTAAGCCTTGGCAACTTCCACATGGTGTTGAGCTTACAGGTGTGCAGAAGGCAAGCACTGAGGGTTGGGAGCTTCTGTCTAGATTTCAGAGGATGAATGGAAGTACTTGGATATCCAGTCAGAAGTCTGATGCAGGGGTAGAACCCTCTTGGAGAATCTCTACTAGGGCAGTGCAGAGAGGAAATATGTGGTTGGAGACTCCACAGAGAGTCCCCACTGGGGGGCACTGCCTACTGGGGTTGTGAGAAGAGGGCCATCATCCTCCAGACCCCAGAATGGTAGATCCATTGACAACTTTCACTTTGTAACTGTAAAAGCCACAGGTACTCAATGCCAGCCCATGAAAGCAGCCACAGGGGCTGGACCCTGTAGAACCACAGGGCTGAAACTGTCTAAGGCCTTTGGAGGTCACCCCTCACATCGGTGTGGCCTGGATGTGAGATATGGATTCAAAGGAGATTATTTGGGAGCTTTAAGATTTAATGACTGCCCTGCTGAAGTTCAGACTTGCATGGGACCTGTAGCCCTTTTTGTGTTGGCCAGTTTCTCCTTTTTAGAATAGCAGTATTTAGCCAGTGCCTGTACCCCCATTGTATCTTGGAAGTAACTAATTTGTTTTTGATTTTACAGGCTCAGAGGTGGAAGGGACTTGCCTTGTCTCAGATGAGACTTTGGACTTGGACATTTGAGTTAACGCTGAAATGAGTTAAGACTTGGGGGACTGTTAGAAGGGATGATAGAATTTTGCAATGTGAGAAGGACATGAGATTTGGGAGGCATAGGGGAGGAATGATATGGTTTGGCTTTGCATCTCCACCCAAATCTCATGTTGAATTTCTTTTTTTTTTTTTTTGAGATGGAGTCTCGCTCTGTCACCCAGGCTGGAGTGCAGTGGCCCGATCTCAGCTCACTGCAAGCTCTGCCTCCTGGGTTTATGCCACTCTCCTGCCCTAGTCTCCCAAGGCGCCCGCCACCTCACCCAGCTAGTTTTTTGTATTTTTTTTAGTAGAGACAGGGTTTCACCATGTTAGCCAGGATGGTCTCGATCTCCTGACCTCGTGATCCACCCGTCTTGGCCTCCCAAAGTGCTGGGATTACAGGCTTGAGCCACCGTGCCTGGCCTCATGTTGAATTTCTAATCCTCAGTGTTGGGGAGGGACCTGGTGGGACGTGATTGGGTCATGGTGGGGGCTTATGTCCTTCTTGCTGTTCTTGCGATAGTGAGTAAGTTCTCATAAGATCTAGTTCTTAGAAAGTGTGTAGCACTTCCCCATTCACTCTCTCTCTCTTCCTCCTGCTTCCACCGTGTAAGAGGTGTCTGTTTCCCCTTTGCCTTCCGCCATGATTGTAAGTTTCCTGAGTCCTTCCCATCCATGCTTCCTGTACAGTCTGTGGAATAATGAACCGATTAAATTTCTTTTCTTTATAAATTACCCAGTCTTCGGTAGTTCTTTATAGCAATGTGAGAACAGACTAATACATTGTCCAACCAACAACCCATCAGTGGCCTGTTTAAAGTGCAAATATAGCCATGTTATTCACCTTTTAAAAAGTATTCTATAATTCCAAATTGACAGAAAGGTAAAGTAGAAACTTCTTAGGTTATCATATGAGGCCTTTTATTGTCTAGTTCCATTCTCTCATTGTTGACCTATGTTCTAACTAAAAAAATTACTCGGTTTTCCGAAATTTAATGACATTCTCTTCATACTTTTAATTTTTATTACAAACGGTGTTTCTTTTAACCAGAATGTTCTTCCTTTGCCTGCCTCCTCTACTCCTATTTAGAGATTTAGCTCAGCAATTTAACGTTTGAGATTTAACTTGACAATTTTATCTTCTATGATGTATTTCCTGACACCTTTTGCCAACTCCCTATTTCCCTCATAACAACTATTTTATTGCATTAAAATTATGTATGTGCTTAATGAGTCTATCTCTAAGTTGAGATTCTAGAGACAAGTAATCTGACAGATACGTCTTTGTATCTATTGCAACCTCATACATCTATGGCAGTTAGAATAATGCCTGGAACATAGCAATAAATGTTTGTGGAATGAATTAATGAATAGGAGCCCACATCGAAATTACTGGAGAAGACTTAACATATTCTACCTGGTGGCAAATATTACTTTGCAAAAATATTAATTTAGTTATGAAGATATGATTTATCTAAGATCAGATATTTAGTGTCTAGAATGAAATACTGAGTTTAAAATAACTTTTAAAAATGAGTGACAGAGCTCGTAAAAGCACCCAATGTTTGGAATGTTTATACCAATGCCTCTCCTGGTTAGCAAACCTGGCTACTACTTAAAGGACAACTGGATTAGGAAGAATATTTACATTGAGCATTAACATGTGACAACTCTATAAAGTCAAGATTTTCAGTTAACTACTAATGTTAGCAGTTGCTCTTTAATAGTCTTCAGCATCTTTACAAGGTTAAGTTCTATTTCTGTTTCATTTAAACTTTTGAAAACTTATGAATTACTGTTAAATTTTTAGGAAACTCGCATTTAGCATTTGTTAGCATGATCATTTTTCCTTTAAGTTATGGTGTAATAACTTATATTGATTTATTACCTGATATTGAACCATCTGCATTCCTGTACCATACCTTTCTTGGTAAAGGACATTATTCTTATAGTCATGTATTATATTTGCTAACATCTCATCTTGATGTTTTGCATTTGCCTTCTTAAGAGTAATAGGTTTATATTGTTGATTAGTAATGTAATTTCTTATTTTGTTCTAGAAATCGTATAAAATAAGTGTTGAATCAAACTTACCTCAAAGATTGAATTTAGGAAGGAAATTCTAGCATTTCTATCAAGTCAGGACTCATGATAACTAACATTCATCAGTGCCTTCTTTGTGCCAATTACAGTTAAGTGCTTCATGTATTAGTTCATTTAAACCCTACAGCATCCCATCAACCAGAAATTATTATTATACCCATCTTGGGTCAGATGAATTGAGACACAGAGATGTAAAGTATCCAGGGTCACATAGAAGGTATATTGCAGAGTCAGGATTTGAACTCAGGCATTCTGGCTGCAGAGCCTACTTTCTTTACCAAAATGCATTCTTTTCCCCATCTTGTTGCAGAGAAAACCACGAATATCAGGAATTATTTGTCCAAAGAATCTGACATAATCATTGTTAATTGACCTATGACTACTTGAATAATGTAGAATTTATAAGAGAAATACCCTAACTACATACTATCAATTGATAACATAGATTGGAGACTAACTGTATTTAACTATTTAAAAACGTAGTTAAAAATATTACCAAAGTAATAACACTGTTTTGTTTTTTTTTTTTTTTCATCGTTTCAGCAATCTTGACACAGAAGAACTATGTGGTAAGTGTTTCTTTAAGATCACTCAAACCCATTACTTGTTTAAGAAGCAAAAAGAGTATTGTTTGATATACATCAACCTTGAAATTAATGTTGTATATTAGGAGTTCTAGAAAAAGAAAAATTAATTGAGATCTCAAGGCATTTATCTTTATCCATGAATTTTGCTCAAAATATCCATGTATTTCACTCCAGAAACAGTCAGACCTCATTAGTTTGTACATAGAAGAAGATTTGTTATTACAATCAGTACATTAGTTTCACAAGAGCAAATTCTCCTCAAGTTTGAATATATTTTTAAATTGGTGTTTAATACAACTTCATTACTCTCTGCACAAGCCTTTTGCTACTATTTTACAAAGCTGTTTTCTTGAAATGTAAAAATAACTTTGTCTCATACCTGCCTAAATCATTCTGGAGTTTTAAATGTCACTTGCAAAACAAGTGATTCAATGGGGACAGATAAATCTTTACAAATGTCTGGTTTAGTAGCCTCTTCATTTATTTTATTCATCTTTATGGTTGGAACAATAGTTAAAGATTAGAAATATGGAAAGGTAAAATTTTTAAATTTTATTATTTTATGAAAAAATGGAACATTATGAGACTATTCAATTTGAAACAGCTATATTTCTCTGAACACTGGAAGGTTTAATGTTTTATGTTTTAAGATAAATGTTTAAGATAATACTTTTATCCAAGTTTGATCTTATTGTCTAGGCTGCTCAAAACATTTTTGGTAGTTAGAGGTGAGTTTTCTCTGAGAACTCCTCATTGAAACCACCAGCACTTCCTGAATATCTTGTAATTCTTACAGTTTTAGAGTTTACCAAAACCATCAAAAAGGCCATTTTCTTATATTCACGAGTGGTTATTTTCCATTTCATCAAAGTGGTAGAGCAACATCAAAAGATGTTATACAATAACAACATGTCAGAATACAGGATTTCAAGGCAATAGCTGAACAAAATGAGCATAATATCCAGCCATGACCTTTCAAATTTTCCAATGATTTTTAAAAACTCATACTTCTTATCCTAGCATAGTGTCCATCTCACGTTCAGGGAGGAAAATCCAACTGAAATTCAAAATATGTTTATGGAGGAGCAAGGTACTCTGGTATCAAAGGAGGTCATGTTTTTGTTAGTTATGAAATACCAACAGGGAAAATTGTGCCATTCTTTCAGACACAGTCAGATGGTAGCATTGTGCACACATGGTTAAGTACCTGAAAGTGCTCATATGGACCATTGCCATGAAGCTTCATCATGAATAGCAGTCACCGTAAAGGCCAAGTTATGGTCCACTCTCATCTATGTGCACACAGTCCTGGTCAGTGAAGTGAAAAGATAAAATGGAAAACACAAGATTATCTTGATAATTTCATTAAGGTGGCAGACTCATTTCCCTAAAATGTCTAGCTATGTCAGACCAAAGTAATTATTATCCTCAAGTCATTCATTTATATCTATTCTTTGTTTTTCACTTAACTTTGCCTGGGTAGGCCACAGCTGATGACAAAGCAAACTGTTATAAGGGCTTTTAAGATAAAAACACTAAGTGGTTCTTCTTTAATTGCTATGTTGCCTGCCTATTGTCATTAAGGAATATTGTGTTATCATCTATTTTCCTTTAAAAGTACTTCAAATTTTAAAGTATGATAGCATAGCTCCACTTATTCCTCTACTGAAAAAAATATTTTAAAACTATGCCTTTTTTCTATAATAGGGGAACTGGATTCGGTGCCTATCCTGTATTTATGAAAAAAGCTTTGACTATGATTTTCCCCCCATAGTTTTAGTTAGGGAATAGGTATGTGGGGCTTTAATTCAACAGGAATTTTTCTGTGTTTTTTAAATCCAGTGATTGTATTCACAGTCATGTGTTATAATCCTCCCCCTCTCTGTTCAAGAATATGCATTTTAATCTCCAAAGTGTCATTTCATTTCTCATTATTTTCTGAATATAAAGTAAATATTTAAGTTGGATTCTAATCAAAGCCAAATGCTTCAGTGTTAGCAAGTGAAATATGTCAATTCACACCCGGCACAAATTCCCCCTTGTGCGTGGGAGGGGCAGAACTTGATTGGCATGAAAAGTAGATTTCATATGTTCTTTCCTAGAAGCCAATTAAAAGTTGCAGGTATGTAAAACTTTAATTCTGAGGCTTTTATTTAATTTGTCAGTTACTAAGTTAAGGACCTAGAATTTAAAATATTTATTTTGAAAAAAAAGTCTTTGTAATTTTAATTGTGAAAGTAATACATAACTACTATTTTTAAAATTTAACAGAATTATGTAGGCGTATAAGCTAATATGTCAATCTTCTCTGCCACTCATTGTCGTCCCCAATACTGAGCTCCACTATTTACTTGGAACATATTCTTCCAGACATTATTATGTGTATATTGACATTGATATATATGTGTATGTGTTGTTGTTGTTTTTTACAACAGTAATTATATTATATGATTAGTACAATTGCATCCCCTTCTCCTTCATTTCATTTGAAGGCTGCGTAGTGTCTCATGTTCCTTAATTTTTTTCAATCAAATTCCTTTTAATGGATTTTCAATTTGAATCCAACTTTCTATGGGAAAAACAGGATTGAAGTAAATATTCTCATATACATTATTCTCACACCCATGTTCAAGTAATTCTGGATAGTAGATTCCCAAACATGTAATTCCTCAATCAAGGTTTCTCTAAGGTGCACACGCACCAGCAGTTTATAGAAGTGCCAAAATTATCCACTCTTCACATACAATTGTGAAGGCCTTCCTAAATGCATTTTTTTTTTTTTTGGCCATATCTCATCACTATCAGTCAATACATAACTCAATTTTAATTAGGCAATTGTGTTTGAACTCTGGCATTAAAGCTTTGATTTTGTATTTCTACCATAATTAGCTCCAATCTAAAGCATTCAGGAGTGTAATTACTACCTTTCCTGGCCCTACCCTCTTTATGACTGTTTTCATAACCTTACTCATTTTTACTGAACCGTTTTGCAGATCTTGAATTTGGTAGTTAAGAATAGGTAGTTGAAATATTTATAAATGGGTGAAGAATAATTGCAATGAATGTGCTTGATCTGAAAGCATATCTGTAAGAAAGCATATCTGTGAACAAGGTCGAATATATTTAATGGCATAATTTCTAATCTAGCTGGCTGTTATCTATCAAATATTAAACTATTTTAAAATTATATGAACTCTATAAATAAGATGGATTAAAAACTGAGGGTATGGGAAACTCCAGAATAAAAGCTTATTCCCTTCATACCCAAGGTTCCTTTCAGTAGCTGTGCACTGAGCACCCAGGCTGCAGAGCAGCACCAGCTTGCATTGGGAGAGACCGGACAGTGCTGAGAGACCTGTGCCAGCAAGTCTGGGTGCTAGGAAATCAGAAGGCTCTATGCCCTCCTCCAGACTGCTGTGTCCTCCTCCAGTGGCACATGTCACTAATGATCGAGATATAAGAGAGTTTGAGTGTCGCTTATCTGCATCCCCTCAAAATAGCCCACATTTCTAGATCTGACTGACCTCCCTATTCAGAACATGTGGGTTTTAACACTCTCTCTCATCTCAATTATTTTCTTTTCTACCTAGTCTACTACTTGAGAAATTCTAACTACTTGAGAAGTTTAGATGACTCACCTGAACTCATGAGAATACTTTGTGAGACCAGTTTCTGCTGAGACTTTTGTGGCAGCTGTGGGTCCTTTGCTTCTGACAGAATTATTAAGCTGATCTGAAAACTCAACAACTTGAAAGACTAAGGTGCAGCATAGAAAAACAAAACAAAACTGTAGTTTGGTAATGCAATACCACTGATTAAGTACAGAAAGAAAGGGAGAAACTAATTTATTGTTAGCATATTAGTAGAGAAGATGGCACATTGGATATCCATGAGAATATAGCCTGCTTTCTGACAGATAACAGGCTTACTACATCTGCTTATAAATTGTGCTCTACTTTTTCATCATACCTAATATTCAGACTCTACTTTTCAATGATACTTCACTTAAACTGATGAGGATTGGTTTTCACATATTGCCATATGTGCAATACAACTCTATTTTGCTCAAGTTCATGAAGCCCATATACAGGTTTCAACAAAATAGGTATTTTCTCCAGGAAGTTATTATAGTTACCAAAGGAAAAGCATTTTAAAGAACCAATATTTGTTCCAAATCATTCTTTCTAATGCCATGACTTAAGGACAATATTCATTTGCCCCACTAACACTTGCATTGTGATTCAAATGAGAAACATAAGAAACTTGGAACAAAACTTTAGTCGAAGCTCAGCCACTTCCAAAGACGTCATTGTCTTTGCCTCCTGCCTGCCACATCTTGGAGTTTGCAGATCTGCAAAATTCTGGACTCCACCCCTCATTCCACTTCACAGCTTTGGCATGGCTCATAGTCCTAGTTGTGTGATGAAATCCCTCCTGGCAATTGATGCCTCCCTTCTCTCTTGATGGTGTCACCAACATTCCTAAGTCATCCTTAGTGCATCCTTTCCTTTTCTGATAGGAAAATTTGAGGATATCACTCTCCTTTTCAAAATTGTTCCATGCCTTCCCATTGCCCATAGTGGTCTCAGATTTACTCTGCATCATAATCTCCTAGGGAACCTCACCCTCAACCCAAATATTGTGATTTACTAGATGAGACCTTCTCAGTTATCTAAATGTCTAACAAGTACCCTAGAGTAGTGCTTCTCAAACTTAGGTTATGCCTACAAATCACCTGGGGGTCTTATTAAAATGCAGATTGTGATTCAACAGGACTGGAAGCGGGTCTGGGACACTAAGTTCTAACAAGCTCCCAGGTGAAACTAATGCTGCTGGTCCACAAAACAAACTGAACAGTGAGGTACAAGAGGATTCTGATGCAGGTGGTCAAAAACACTGACCTAGACTTGAGGATCAAAAAGCATCTGGCAAGGACTGTTTCCAACACATACAGCTTTGTCTCCCATCACTGATTTTTAGCATGTTTCCTTGCTGCCTCCCATTCTCAAATATGTTCCAGTCCTGTTCTTTATATCTTGGCAGTGCTGAACTACACATACTCCTGCAAACATGACAGGAAAACAGCTGCTTCCATGCCTTTCCTCCTAGTATCCAGCAAGTTCAGTCCTATTCATCTGTTAACTGAGCCATTGGTGGTGTTTCTCCTGTGAAGTCCTCTCTGACTCACCTAGGCAGACTTGGGCATTCTTTTGGACAGGACCTCGCTCTGTCGCCAGGCTGGAGTGCAGTGGCACAATCTCCACTCACTGCAACCTCGGTCTCCCTGGTTCAAGCAATTCTCCTGCTTTATCCTCTATTTGGATTGCGCCTTGTATCTGGGCTCTCAAACCATTGTCTTTAACAATGATTCTGTGTACTGCAGTTGTTTCTTGGAATGCTTGGAATGTTTATCTCTCCTCTCTGACTGTAGGGCTTCTGTCTTTTCACCTTTGTATTCCAAGCTCCTACAATAGCACCTAGCACATAAAAGGCCCTAAGTAAAGGTATGTTAGGCCACAGAATGAGTAAGTGGACATTCACTATGATGAAGTGGAGGGGAGTTATCTCTCTTTATCTATGTTGGATGTGTCTGGCTCTTTCATCTAACTTCCCTTTGAGTTTATTGGAGCCCCCTTGCCTTGACTGCCTGACCCATATCCCTCAGTGAGTAAGTTATAAAAGAGCCTTAGTGACACTGAGCTGCACCACCTCAAAATGACCCTTACACTTAGATTTCCAACTTAAGCTGCCATCCACGACTTGAGTATGGTAATTCTCTTCCTTCTCAGTCATTTTGTTTACTATCTAGTGATTGTTCCTTTTTTCTAACTTGGAGGGTTGGGATGAACACGTGGATGAATGAAGGAAAGAAATAAGTCTAGATAGGTGTCAGCTCTGAAACTTCTAGTCGTCGTTTTTCTCATATGCTTTATCAGCATATGCCTGCATCTGTGTGCATAGGTCCAATTTCAAAGTGGAAAGACAACTTAAATTCTCTCCAGGAACCTTTACTAATTAAGCCAAATATCTTCTCTATGAATGAAATATTTATTTTAAAAAGTGGCTTTACTTCTATCTATCTATCTATCTATAGATATAGTCTATATATATAGTCTATATATATTTATGTATAGATAGAGAGACTTGATTTTTAGCATCAATTTTTTTGTTTTCACGTTCCTTTTTTTTTTTTTTTTTATTTTCCAAGAATCAGTGTCTCATCTGTAGCCCAGGCTGGAGTGCAGTGATGCTATCACGGCTCACTGCAGCCTCCACTTCCCAGGCTCAAGCAGTCCTCCCACCTCAGCCTCCCAAGTAGCTGGGATCAGAGGCACATACCACCATGCTGCATGACCCAGGCTGGTCTCAGACTCCTGGGCTCAAGTGATCCTTCTGCCTTGGCTTCCCAAAATGCTGAGATTATAGGCACAGCATGTTTTCCCTTTATATTTTTGTCTACTTGCATTTAAAACCCCTATCACAATCCTCTTTGAGGTATTATATATACAAGTTTTAAAATAAAAATGAAGTAACAGCTTCACTTTTTGGCTTTTTTTTACGCTTTTTGCTTGTTTCAACATAGTATAGACTCAGTTCTGATATTCATTATTTTTCCAACTTATGAATATTCTACAGCCACATTAACTGCTTGCTGGTTGATGAAGAGTGTTCATTTGTTATAAATAATTGCACAGGGACTTCCTTTGTTATAAATAATTGCACAGATAAAGTTAGACATATTTGTCAACCTTATCAAAAAGTCAACATTATAACCACAAATTAAAATGTTATTTTGAAGCAGGTATTTAAGGAGAAAATACTTTCTTATTTATTTTCCAACTAATCACTTTCTAAAGAATCTTTATAAGAGATAGTTTGCACCACATTGTTTTTAAGGAATGCATTTTACTTTTTGTCAAAAATATGTTGTTTGTTTTTAACCTAAGTATATACAGACAGTATTTTGACACCCATGATCTGGAATTGATTTAGTGCTCACCTGCATTTATTTTCTTCTCAAAAGAAGTCTGTACATTAATTAATATATCAGTCAATGGCACTTTCCAGTTGCTATTAATATCAGTATAAACAAATATTTCCAAGAGTATTAAATAAATTAATCAATGTGGTTTCCATCAAACATGCTGAAATGTATTCCCATAATCTCAAGTGGCTTATATGTGATTATATTTATCATTTCAATTTAGTTCCACAAATACTGTGGCACATTAAAGAGAGACAGTAATAAACACAGTTTATCCAAGGAAAGGTTCACAGGAATGGTGAGAACTATTCATTTTTTAGTGTCTGAAAACCCTAGATCTTCTCAATATATAAATTTATGTTAAGCTAGTTTGCTTTCATTATAGAAATGTATAGATTTCTATAAGTAAATATAAGATTTTGCATTTATATATATTTCAACTTACTAGTTTAGGATCAGTTCATGTTCCATACTTTTAATTTTAATCACAAATCCACTATATTATTTATTCCTAGCAACTGAAAAAAGTGATAGACTTTACTTTTTCTCTGCCCAAATTGTTGAAAAAAAAAAGAAAAAGATTGTGACAGGGACAGTTACATAGAAGGTGCCACAGAAGACCCTCTCATGTTTTGCGTCACTGACTCTTAACCTTGAAAAAAGCTTACCTTCCTTAAATGTTTCCTCCAAGAAACAAAAAATGTAACTTAACTATTTTCTAAAATTACTATCCCGGTGAGATCTATAATACTATGTTGTCAAAAAAATATTTTATTGAAACATCCTTGTCAGTAGATCCAGATTCATTTTTTCCTACTTTTGTAGGAAGCAACATTTCTTCAAGGATAATGGTAATCATTCAGGTTTCCTTTTCTTTTTTCTTGATGTCTTAGTAAAATGAACAGATTGTCACCTTATTTAGTCTTATTTGGAAACCTTCCAGTTTTTACTTATAGCTGACATTTTGTTTTACTCATTTCAGGAATAAATAATTTGTTGATTTTTTTTTGTTTTATGGTTACCTAAACTCAAATATGAATTTATTTCAATATTTTCATTTTTCAGAATATTTTTCTCAGCACTTGGGCGAGTATGAGAATGTACTAGCAGCACTTGAAGACCTGAATCTTTCCATCCTGAAGGCAATGGGCAAAACCAAGAAAGTAAGAAAATGTTAATGTTTGTTTTCTATAAAAACATCTTATTTGAAAAAGTTTTCTTGAAAATCATACCTATTTTCAAGTATAGATTCTTTATTATCACTGATAGTTTATTTTTCTTCATATTAAATGAGCTATGTTATTCATTTGCAACATAATTATAAACACTATATGCCAAAGACTGTGCTTCGTGTTGAGGATACAAAGATACAAAGACCTGTTAGAATAGCTCTCAGCCTGGTGTGTAAACTAAGTAATATGTTTTGAATCTTTTCCCTCTCCAAATCCTATATTGAATTGTAATCCCCAGTGTTGGAGGTGGGGCCTGGTGGGAGGTGATTGGCTCATGGATCACCATTCCCCCAGTGCTGTTCTCCTGATGCTGAATGAGCAAGTTATCATGCGATCTGGTTGTTTAAAAGTGTGTGGCACCTCCTTGCCCCTCTCCTTCCTCCTCTGGCCATGTGACATGCCTTGCTTCTCCTTTACCTTCCACCATGATTGAAAGCTCCCTGAGGCCTCCCCAGAAACAGAAGTCACTATGCTTCCTGTACAGCTTGCAGAACTGTGAGCCAATTAAACCTCCTTTCTTTATAAATTACCCAGCCTTACATATTTCTTTATAGCAATGAGGGAACTGACTAATGCACTGAGCATTACAGTATAGCCCAATGAGAAGCACAAGACATCTAATTCATGCTGGAGGTGAGATGACACCTGAACACTTATAGATAAAGGAAGTTGGTAGAGCTGAACAAAGGAGACCTAAATACAGGGAACAGCACATGCAGAGGCTCTGAGTCAAGAGGGTCACAGGACACTCTAGGAAATGAAGCTGGACAATAAGGATGAAGTACCGAAGAGTGGCATGATGTGAGATGAAACTGGAGTGCTAGGGAGGGCCCACACCTATCATGATGTCAGCAAAGCTAAGGATTTAGGCCTGTGTCCTAAGTGCAAATAAATCAGCAAATATTTAAAGCAGAAGTAAATAAAACTCATGCAGTATTTCAAAAAGATCATACAAGAATTAACTTGGAACTGGGGTGGATAATATAGAGGAATAGGATCAGAAAGATGAGTGAGTAGTTTAGTTCATTAGTCTGGATAAGAAATGTTGATATTTGGAAAACAATAAAGACTCAACTGAATTTTGGAAAATAAAGTTCAGAAAGTGCCCTAAAACTTCAAGGAAAACAGAAAATGTAAGAAAATTGGAGCACCAGGCTAGTGTATCCTATATCCAAATAACAAATTCCAAAAAGAGAGAGGGAGAAAAAAGGAAAACAGGTAAAAAGTGGAATCAGAATACATTTTCTTTAGAGCTCTTCAGGAATATTTGGAAACTGTATAATAACTTCATCCCTTGGAAACTTCTCTCCAGAAATGGCCATTAAAAAATTCTCTGCTTTGTGTGTCTAGCTTCTTCTTGTTCTTCAAGTCTCATCTTAAATACCATGGCCTCAGAAAGGTCTTCTCTGACCACTTCCATCTAAAAAAATGAAAGGGTCATCTCTATTAGAGTAGCTCATCTGTTCCTTGCTGGCAATTTATCATAATCAGTGAGTAACTGTTCAATGTTTTTGTTGTTGTGTATTTGTTGTCTGTAAAGAGAGAGAAGGGCAGTGACTGCTTTTTGGTTTTGGGGTTTTTGTTTTGTTTTGTTTTTGGCTCACCATGTTTACTCTGAACCTAGCACAGGACCTGACAATTAAAATCATACTCAAAAAGTTTATCGATGGATTAAATTAATTGATTGGTTAAATGAATACACATATAACTCCAAAAGCTAAACACTTTTGCTCCTAAAAGAAAAATTGCTCCTAAGTTAATTTAAGAAGCTTCCAGATTTCCTCTAATAGGAAGAAAAAAACAAGTTATATAATCTTCCTTATTTCCTCAGAAATATGCACTAAAATCATATTGTTTTCCTTGTATTAAGACAATGAGGTTTTGTGGAATTTAAATTGAGGTCAACCTGTTGTTTTGGTTTCTTAAGTTACAAAATCTTTTTCTTGGCACTGACCCTTAAAAATGCCTGTGATTCATATTATCATACTGTTTAATCAAGAAAAACATATGTCTCTGATTTAAATTAAAAAGGAAAAAGAAAAAAGAAATAGTCAAAATTAAAATTAGAAAAAGCCCCTTTGTGTAATAGCTCAAAGATGAATAAAATGCAGGAGTTTTGACGTTTCTCAAGCCACTGTTGAATAGACATCTTCTCCACGCTGTCTAGCACATGGACCCTTCAGAATGAGAAATCTAGCATTTTTCTCTATATTTCTACCCAGATAAAAAGTCCTGTCTTGGTAGGAAGATCTGATTGTTCTAGGCTTTTATGAAAAATGAAATACAAGCCTTTTATGATCTATCTTGACAGGCAGTACCTCTGTTTGCAGTGTCAGAGAATGGATAAAATGGGATTTAGCTGCCTACCTTAAACTCCGGATGACTCAGGACAAATACAATCTGTCATTATTTTCCCTCCTCCTCCTTCTCCCTTAACCCCAGTCTTTTGTCAGATCCTCAAGGGCTACATGGATTATTTTACTTTGCTTGTTATTCTGGAACAAAACACTGTAGGTCAAATTCCAAATGGCCATTTGAAAGTCCCAAAGGTAACTAAAACCAGAACCCTCTGTCTGACTTTGGAATGTTTCACACACACAAAAAAATAGCTTTGTCCATTAGTTTTTCTTCTTTCTACAGGGTAGAGGTGATAAGTTAACTTGCAGCATTAGTATGCGAAGTGCTTGTGATCTCAAAGCAAATATAGAATTCTGATGCTACAGCTGAATTCATCATGTGCTATGTTATATAAACACAAATGGGATTCACTATTAGTAGGGCTTAAAAGGAAATTATCACAAGTTAAAGTGAAGAATGGCATTTTCAAAATAATTATTTAGGGTTTGTTAGTTACCTTACTGAGTGCAGCCATGAAATTTTCCAAAAGTAAAGTGTATATATATTTTTTCTTCTGACAGTTATTTTTCAAACAAACACACCCTACAGTACATTTTCAATAATTTAAAGAAAAAAATAGACTTGAATCCTAGCACTTCCGGACCTCTGTCTCTGTCTTACTCTCCTACATCTGCCTTCGGGATCTATGTTGATTCTCTCTTTAGCATCTACAGATCCCTTTATCTTAATCTTTTCATCTCTTCTCTATCTCTAATTTTTTTTTATGTTGAGCATCTGGGCCTCCCAGGGCTCCATATTCCTTTCACTAAAGATCACAATCATTTTATTTGAGTCTTACTATGAAAAAGATGAAATAGCAATAGGACACAGAATTTCTATTTGGGACAAACATCATTACCATAATTTTATGTAGGATTTATTATTAAAATTTTCCCTTGTTTCAGGCAAAATATCCAAGCTGAAATGATACCATATGTGGCATAGTAAAATACCCTTGTAGGCTTACAGAAGGCAAGCATTTTAATTTTTCATTATAGTTTCATTGCAATCTTTTAAGTATTCAATCCTTAAGTATTTAAAAATAAGATGAAGAAATTATTCTTGGACTTCAGAGCAACCACACAAAAAAAGTACTTTTTAAACCGTTTATTTGACATCTTCTTTTTTCCTTGAAATTTTCTGTCAAAATGAGTATGTTTAGGGAAGAGGAAGTAGAAACTAGGAGGATGGAAAATAGGAGAGAAGTGTTTTGAGGTTGCAAGTTTGGTTCAATAGGAGAGAAGCCCTGAGTCAGGTCCAAGCCTTGGACTCCTCCATGCAGCCCTGGCCAGACTTCTGCCCAACACCTGGCAAAGGGGAACTCAACACCTCTGGAAAGGTTGCTCAATGAAGTAAGGAGGAACATGTTCTCTTGTAGAAGACCCTAGTTATCCTGAAGGACTCTGCAGTACCTACTTCCTGGACAGAAAAACCTCCACCTGTCAGTGGGTAAGGAGGAGATAGAACTGAGATGAGAGCCCTAACCCTTCTAATTCATGTGAGCATGACTTTGGGTGTAATTTAAAGATGATAAAAAACCACTTTGAGGTTATTGATAGAGTTCACACAGTGGTGTAGGTGATTAATTCAGGCAAAGATCATCAACAAAGTAGTGGCTAAGGTGGATATGCTAGGAGGATGGAGGACAGAGTGCATAGTAATGTCTGGGCAGGCTCAAGACTTGGATTGGTACCTACCTGACAACCACATCACTGGTTCTTTCTAGCCATTGCTGCAGCCCCACCAGACTCTTGGTGACTGATCTGACTTTGCTGAGCCAAGTTGCCAAATGATGCCTAATGACTCTTCTTTCCAGCCAGTCTAGGGCTTCCGTGGCTATGACCAAAAAGAGGATGAGGAATAGCTGTCAATGCCAACTAGCATTCATATAGCACCTTGGAGTTTTCAACATGCTTTAATATATAGTATTTCAGTTACTCTTCATCACATCCCAGTAAGGAATTTCAGGCAAAAGGTAATATACCCATTTCAAAAATGAGGAAACTGAGTCACAATGTGGCTAGTTGATTTATTGATATCCTAAAGATAATGAAATTTAAACCAAGTGATTCTCATTTAAATTTTTTTTATTTAAGGTTTATGTGGTTCCATATGAACATGCTATAAACCTGCAGCTGTAAGTTTTATCATGACACAAAATATTTCTGGTATTAGGTGCCTTTGGTCTTTGAAACAATCGAAGTCTTTAGAGTTCAGCTGTGTCTCAGCAAAGACATAAAGATTTCTAGCTTCTCTGTTAGAAATATTTTCAGTTTTGTTTTTGACAACTGAATAAGTAGCTATCCAGAACTCAGTGTAATATGTGAGGAATATATGAAAGAAATTATAGACAGAAGCGGATGATAATTAAATGCTGAAATCATAATTAAATCCTGAAATCAAAAGATGAAGGTGCATAAGCAAAGTTCTAGGCAAGGAAGTTCATATTTTTTATTATAGTTTGTTGTCATTAGAGAAATGAACTTTAATTAGAAAGTAAGAGAAGTTACGTGCCCATGTCAAACAATGGATAT